TGCGTATTTGCAACAGTGACGCCAGCTGGAAAGATGCGACCGCAACTATACAACTCCGCGCTGGTGCAAGCGAACACGGCGCACACCTTTAGCGCAGCCGTTTCCAAGCGCTGAACCGTCGCCTGCGAACCGCTGTAGGCTCCGAGGCGATAACGGTACGCTGCATAAATACGAGAACTGCTGATAGGTGTGCGCGCGGCTTCAAAATGACAGCAGAACTGATTGTCGTAACACAGGGTTACATTCACTGCAGTGAAATCGGCGTCCAGTAATTGCGTCTTAAAAATGTCGACATTGTAGTCGCGCTGCAAATCGAGTTTCGTGAGACGCGGTGTAGTCACTTGCGGTGCGAAATCGGACTGTGGTACCGGCGGCACTTGATAGCTTTGGCGGTAGGCCTTTTTGGGCACCCTGGCTGTGAGCAGTTGTGTGGTGGGTTCTTCATATATGACTGCCTTCAGACGTCCCAACCGTCCTGCGTAAATACCTGAACCGCTGATTTGTCCGCTGGGTTCGCTGGCGTCTGCTGCGAGTAAGTTGACATCATTAGCGTACGACCAACCTTCCTGCAGTTGCACGGCTGTGAGGAAGGGTAGTTCATTGAACCAATGCGTTGCATAGATGATATCTGTTATTCCAAGCTCTGCGACTAACCTTTGCGCCGGTTGCCAGAACAGAAAATCTGAGCCAATAAAATGTCCAAAAGTCACACCGAAATCGGTAGTAAATGTTGCCAGCTGCGGTTGTGGCATTACATTCACGCTATACCATTCATAACGAAATAGATTGGTCTTACGGTAACGCGATATGACACGCCCCTGCCGATCGAACACCACATTTGCGCTGTACGTATTTATGCCGCTGACATTGCAATGCCCGATCCCTAGCGGATCATTAGCGCAATAAACCTTTTCCTTCACATGTATCACCAAATATAATTGACGCGCGCGTGCTACGCAGGACAACTCTGTGAGTATGAAGTCGTAATTTGGCACATCACAGGGTGCAATATTGAGCGCTGGATCGGGCACAAACGTCAATAAGGAATAGTCGTTTAGCACATATTCAGGAAAGACGAGTATGTCCAAACCGCTTGTCAGATTCGATTCGATAATGTTTTTTACGCGTCTGAGGCCATCTCTGGCTTTCGGTTGTCCTTCGCCGGGTGGTGGTATGAATTCGGCAACACCGGCATTATACGTGGGATCTGTAGGCAATGAGTGCTAAAAAATAGAGATGAGTGAAGCATAAAGAAACAGGACTTTCTTGAATGGTTGACAAATATAAATGAGGCAGGTTAGAAAGATGTAAAATGTAGGTGAAGTGTTCAGTTAGCAAGCTGACTGGCGTGTAATGTAATTATAGAAATGCAGATTTCAGAACAAAATTTGATGCCTGAAGTCATACGTCCTTTTCCGAAAATTGTCGTATCATGGTGAGCCCTGTATACTTACAACACTGCAGTGGTATGTGGTGCATTTTTTATTAGTAACAGCTTTTGAGTATCTTGCGTCCCGTTTTATACCTAGTTAAGACAGATTGGAGAATATATATTTCTCAATGTAATTGCTGTCGATACTTTCCTAAAACCTCTGCGATTCAATGTTTTCAATTTCCTTTTTTCTTGGGCCCGTAGTTGTGTACCAGTATTCCACATTGAGCTTGTTTTAATAGTTACAGCGATACTTTAATTATTATGAGAAAATGGATCGAGCGTCTTCCGTGATATCATCCAACAATCTGAATCAAAAGTGAAGATTCTTCAGTCCTCAGTGAGTTGTAAGATATATAATTATTATAGGTTTATTCCCACGACTTGATAATTTAAATTTTATTCATTCTCAGACATCTCGTAGTAGTAGTATTCCACATTAAGGTTGCCTTTTTCATAGCTTTAGAGATGCTTCTTCCATTATGAGCAGATCTCTACTCTCTTCGAGCGTCATCCGCAAGATACATCCGTATCTTGTAATACATGACATTATTATCTCAAGAATTATCTCGGATGGATCTTGTTGTGAACGAGGACAAGACGAAATATCCCCCTGTCATCAAACAAACAGTCATAACTTTGAAGACGACGAACAAAGACCAAACTTTATAAGTCACTCATTATTCCAGTCCTGCAATGTGCTGCGGAGGCATGGACAATGACATCAGCTGATAAGCCGGTCTTATGAGAGTTCGAGAGAAGAGCTTTTTCGGCAGATTTATGGTCCTTTGCGCATTGGCAACGGCGAATATCGCAGTCGATGGAACGATGAGCTGTACAAGATATACGACGTCATTGGCATAGTTTAGTGATTCGAGAGACAACGGCTGCGCTGGCTAGGTTATGTTGTCCTGATGCAAGAGAACACTACAGCTTTGAAGGTTTTCGATTCAGTACCCACCGGAGAAAGCAGAGGTAGACCCTCACTCCGTCGGAGAGCTGAAGTGGAGAAGGCTGTGGCTGCTCTTGATATCTCGAATTGGTGTCAAATAGCGAAACAAAGAAACGGCACTAGTATGTTGTTAATAATCGTGTAAGCACTGTCTATGCCAGTAAAGAAGAAGAAAAAAGGTGCCATCGAATCATCAAATCGTGAGACTTTCTGGTGACATACGACTAGCTTCTTTTTATAGGTGACTTGTCAAACTCAACTGGCTAGGATGCTCTCCGCTCAAAACTTTCCTTTTGCGAAATTTATAATCGCTTGTAACATAACTTCTCATACCATGCCATGCTATGTACCACGTCTCAAAGGCGGCAGTTATTTTTGAGGGATTTCTTCACGAGAAGCCGCAATAAAGCTTAGTAGTTAGCGAGCGAATTTTGACTTGGTTTACAAAGTTTTTACTTTCTTATACAATATATACAATTACCTGTAAGCCTGACTGAGGTCCTGAGATTACTAGTATGAGTAACACGCAACTTAAACGCAGCTCGTGAATACCCATTATAATCTGAAAGGCGACTGATACTAACGTACATAGCAGCCTATGTGCTTATATTAAAGAAAATACGATTTGTTCATATTTCCCACTGACTTTGTAAAATTGCAAAAAAAAAAAAAAAAATAAATATTGCCGTCAAGAGCCCATTTAGTAGACAAGCGAAAGTGAAAAAATTTAACTCAATACTTTAGCGACCTAAATGTTGATTTTTAGTCTTTTTTTAGCGCCATGATGCTGAAAAGAAGTCTTCACACACACACAAACATAAGCCGTGTTGCTTTTGTCTTTTCACCCAGAATTCACTCCTCAACTCTTATCTTATGTACATCTTAAAGCATGAGGTATTTGCTTTCGTTTATTGCTATATGTTTTATAATCGTGATAAATATGACACTGACAATAAAAAATATTGAGAAATGCTAGCAATTACCCTTTGCGGAACGTTTAAGATATTTGTTTTAACTGAAAGTGGGTTGGTTTGTTTGTGAATGGTTAAATAAGTAAATAAAAAGTAATAAGAAACACACAAAATAATAAAAAATTGTAAGGTAAAAAAGTTAAAACATGCAAATATACTCGTATACTATATACATTGTAGAAACATATAAATAAAACTTGAAAAAAAATATTATTATTAGTATTTTGATAAAAAAAAAGTTGTGATAAAATATAATAAAAAATAAAATTAAAATTTTTATTCATAATTACACACAAATGCTGTAGTGTAGTGTAGCTCTCAAAGATGTCTTGTCAAATAAAAAAGTTTCCCTTTAAGGACTTGATTTTGATCGATCATGATGCTGAACTTAACAGTATGTTCGAAGAAATTGGCAGTCCCTTGGATAGTAATCTATGGTAAATTTAATGAAGATATCTTAAAATGAAATTTTGTCGTACAAGAATCTGCTTTGATCTTTCAGATTGTAAGGCGGCTATACCCCATAATCGTTCGAAACGACAGACAATTAGTGTATAACCAACTTCTTGGAGAGAAAAAGACATGTGTAAAATTTCATAAACTAAGTGATATCTCGCAAACTAAGTGACTAACTCGCGTCTAGACAGAGAGAAGAACAAACGGCCTGGCTGAATATCGACGGCGCTCACCACGCTCATCATTTCTATGCATATCTTATGCCTGTCTAGAGATAGACATAAGGCGACCTTTTAAGTTGCCGGACTACTACGATATATTTCAGACTGAGGTCTTTGCTCTTGCGCCAAGAGCGGAGCTGGTCTCTAATACAGCTGCAGGCACTGCTAGAGTCAAGATCTACAGCAATCAAAACAATGACCTCGTATCGTGTATCCGCCAGAAGGGTCTGGATAAGCAGGGCAGCAGTGGATAGTGTTGCCACAAGTAAGCAACTTCACTTCTACCGGGTGCCAGGCTACAAAGACATCGAGGGCAATGAGATAGTGGACGAGTTTGTTAAGAATTTTTGCTGTACGGCGGACATTCGAAAACGTGATCAACGATTTGGACAAAAGCATGGTAAAGAAATTCAAAACCCAATGGAACGACCTACCTGGGTGCAGGACCGCAAAAGTCATGTGCAAAAAATTTGAACGCAAGTACACAAAACTCCTACTGGCACTCGATAGAAGAGACTGTTGGAACATGATCAGACTGGTCACTGTCTGTGGGCGACATATGCCCGCAGAATGTGGCTGACAGATCGAGAAAACTGCAGGAAATGCTTAGAGCAGGGCCAGCGAAACAACGGAGCATCTCTTGTGCGCTTCTCCCGCATTGGAAAGACTACGCTGTAAGCACCTGGAGTCGTATGATACACTGGAGATGGTATCGATATTGAGGTCGCAGAGTCTATTAAAATTCGCGTCAAGCGCAGGCATCCTAAAAGATGACTACTTCTCTTGGATATAGGAACTGAACGCCCTTTGGTATCGCAAAGGACCAAAACTTATCTATGCGTGGCTTATTAACCGACCAGTTTAACCTAATATATATCTCATATATACATATATTTATGCATATATATTATGAAATCTGCGACGCCTCTTTCTGTTCAGATACAGACATAATATTAGACACCTACAACTTAACCTGTATATAGAGAATTAATTTTTTTTATTAACTCATCAGTGCGACATGAACTAGCGGTCCATCTTTTGCCGTCAGTTCTTTAAAACCAACTAAAGATTGGCACAGTCTTTAAGTGAACAATATGTAAAACGCTTAACCTAGAAAAACTTCATAAAAGCCAACAACAAGGAGACGGTTAAAAGCTTGGCTCCAAGAAGCTGTGAAGCGCCAGAATGAGGACCATGCGCAGGCTGCCACACGGGATCGAAGTTATGCGTGCTCACCTCGGTCGAATAGTAGTTACCCCAAATGCCGAAGGTCAGTATATCCAATTTCGGATAAGTCAAACTTATGGAGATCGCCGTAGTGTTGTTGCTACGCGCATTTAAAAAAAAAAGATTATTATTATTTTACCTGAATGCATATGCAAGAACTACCTCTCAAACTCCTGCCACTCATAAGTGTGCACCGGCAGTGGCATGATGCTGCCATCCACACTAGATGGCATAATGAGACGTCGCGGCGCATGCGGGAAAGAAGCGCTTACATTCAAAGCGCTAAAGTAGTATTTATTGCCAACTGTGACACCGGCTGGGAAGATGCGACCACAGCTGTACAAATCCGCATTGGTGCAGGCGATTACAGCGCACACCTTTAAAGCCGCCGGATCGACCCTTTGATGTGTAGCGCGCGAGCCGCTGTATACTGCGAGTCGATAGCGGTAAGCCGCGTAAGTATTCGCGTTACTCACAATGACGCGTGCGGCCTGAAAATGACAGCAGAACTGACCATCGTAGCATAAAGTTTCGTTCACTGTGGTGAAGTCGGCGGGCAGCAACTGAGTCTTAAAGATGTCCACATTGTAGTCGCGGAGCAGGTCGAGTTTGGTGAAACGCATTGTGACGACTTCCGGCACAAAGTTGGGCTGTATAACCGGTGGCGCTTGATAGTTTTGACGATAGGCGCGCTTAGGTACGCTGGCAGTGAGCAGTTGTGTGGTGGGTTCTTCATAAATGGCCGCAACTAGGCGACCCAAGCGTCCAGCATAAATACCCGAACCGGTATTTTGTCCACTGGGCTTGCTGGCATCAGCTGCAAGTAAGTTGACATCGTTAGCGAACGCCCAACCTTCTTGCAATTGCACGGCTGTGAGGAAGGGCAGCTCACTGAACCAATAAGTTGTATAGATAATATCTGTTATGCCTTGCTCCTTTACCAATACTGCGGCTGGGTCCCAATAGAGCATATCGAAGCATATAAAGTGGCCAAAAGTCACGCCGAAATCTGTGGTGAAAGTAGCATGTTCCGGTTGTGGCAATACTTTCATATTGTACCATTCGTAACGGTAGAGGTGTGTCTTGCGATAGCGTGATATGACACGTCCTTGCCGATCAAACACCACATTGGTATTGTAACTGTTTAAACCGCTGGCATCACAACGTCCAACCGTTGTGGTATCGTTTCCACAAAAAACTTTCTCTATCAAATTGACCACCAAATATAGTTGACGCGAACGTGCGGCGCATGACAGTTCCGTTAGAAAGTGATCATAATTGGGTATTTCACAAGGCGAAATACCAAGCTGCGGATCAGGCACAAATGTGCGGAACGTGCCGTCATTCAGCACGAACTCGGGAAAGACTAGTATATCCAAGTCGCGTGTACCATCCGATTCGATGACCGCTTTCATACGCTTGAGGCTTTCATGGACCTTAGATTTGCCTTTGCCCACACCGGGCATATATTCGACGACGCCAGCTTGATAGGTGGGATCGGTTGGTTGTGAGAGCTGCAAAATGTAGAAGTAGAATGGTGAACGGCAAAGATGACAAAAGCTGAAGCTAATTCGTTTAGCTTCATCGGTTTCCTAAACCATAAATACCTGCCAGGTTTGCTGCGGTCCTATGACGATTGCCAAGAAAAGCAATATTAAACTTTGCACTGTTAGCATCCTGCTTGGTGTGCCGGTGTTGCGGCGCAACGGTTCTTTCGTTTATATACTAGTTCTCCAAGCATTGCGCCTTTTAAATCAAATTTGATGTAAAACCGCCATAAAATCTTTCTTAATCTTATCAGTATTTTAATATTGAGATTATTATCAAAGACCATTTTGCAATTTTTAATGTGCCAATGGGATTTGTTTTTGTCAAATGGAGTAAATTATGCCAACAATGTATTTGAAGTGCATTTAGCAGCGTTATTTTATTGTAGGTATGGCGGGTTCTACAACCGGTGATATTTCCAAATGTAATTGAGGTGCTATGATCCAAAGCAAAAGTTCAGTGCTCTTTAAAGTTATATACGAAACATGAGTTTTTTGGCTTCGTGGTCTTCCAAGAAACGTCATTAAAGTTTTTTTTTTTGGGTTTTTATGAGAAATGGAGATAAAGCGGTATTTATAATAAAAAAAAGTATGATATGATAACTGGAATAAGATGCAATGCTATCAACAACATTTTGACCAGCGGAGATACGATTTTGCGAGTTTTAAATTTAAATTTAGAGAGCACTAATGAGAGTTCGTTTGAATTGGCTAAGAATAGGAGATAAGCGGCAATTTATTTAGTTTTATAAAAGCTTCTAAAAGCGCTAACGTCCAAAGCCGGATATTCAGGAATGCATGGGGAAATCCACAATGCTTATGTGTAAATATAACCTGTTAAAAGAATCTATTTCAAGGTTTCAATTCCAGTCGAATCTTTACAGTGGAATTCTGAGTCAAACGAACTTGACTTATGACTTGAAAAGCTACAGATCGACAAGACTGGCTCTTTGCAAGATTGTGAAATCAGTATCACATGGAGATTTCTTCACAATATCTAGTTTGAGTTCTACAATGACACGTGCAGTCTTTGCTGATGAAGGTCTGAGTGGAACGAACTTGACTTATAGACTGATACAACTTTGGATCGGCAAGACTGCCATCCTATAAAATAGCCTACTCGCATGCGCATGGAAATGGCTTCAAAGTAGCGTCTTTCATGGTTCCAATTACATGTGGAATCTGCACAACTGAAGATTTGAGTTTAAGGAACTTGTCTTATGACTAATCTGGATGGCGATCGATAAGATATCTAGTTTCATGGATCAAATCACACGTGGAGTCTTGAGAGTTGAAAGTCTGAGTGAAACGAACTTGAGTTATGTCTGATCCAACTTAAGATAGACCAGACTGACGTTTTTGAAGATAGTTCACTCGGATTCGCCTGGATATAGCTTCGAAAAAGCTGGTTTGATGATTCTTATTAAACGTGGTATCCTGTCAGTTGAAGACTTGAGTGGAAGAAATTTTACTTGTGACTGATCTGGCTTGAAATCTATAAGATTGACCCTTTTTAAGATTGTGAACTTGGATGCGTTTGGAGATGGCTTCAAAATGTCTAGTTTCATCGCCTGGAGTTTTTACTAATGAAGGTTTGAGAGGAATGTACTTTACTTTACTTATGACGGATCTAACTTTAGATCGACAATACGTGAGCTTTTGAAGATAGTTCACTTAGATTCGCATGGATGTAGCTTCGAAATGGCGGGTTTCATGGTTACACGCGGAATTTTGACAGTTGAATATTTGAATGTAAAGAATTTGACTTGTGACTGGTCTAGCGTGAGATCGATAATGTTTCTGGATCTGTTTAAGATAGTTAACTCGGGTTCGTAGAGAGGTGACCACAAAAAAGCTAGATACGATTTTGAAAGCGTCAAGCATCGTGCTTTAGATTACTTCAAACTTCGTCCCATTTTACGGAAAAATTTCTAATGAGTATTTAAATTGGTCCTCGGACCACTATTGTGTACCGTTTATCTTTATTTATATACTCCGAAAGTGAATAAAGGTGAAGGAGTGCACTCAAATACCCAGCTGCTGTGATCTCTACTTGGTTGCTTTATTATCCTCCTAGTATGTACGGTTATCAAAGTATTTGACGGCGTGAGCTACTTTGTTCTTGTTTTTTTAATAATTAATGACCAACAGCGTATAAACAAACATCGAAGGTAGAACTTCACCAACGACCATAAAAACATAAATATACATAGATACACACACACACATATGAGTTGCTACACATACCCATACATACCATTGGCAAGCAACAGTGTCAACAGCAACAAAAATATATCCAAAAAGTAAACGAGCAGAAATTTCCCGCAAGTTCATAAAAAATGCATGTGGAATCTTTACAGCGCGGGAGAGTGGGAGAGCACACAAATCAGCAGCGCTGTGACAGCAAGGATGCTCAAGGCAATCAAACAGAGTTACTAACAAATATACACTTAAATTTACGCAACTTTCTAATTCATTTGTCTTCCGAACGGTATTTTGCTCTTGCGCTCCGCGACTTCAGGGTTATTTTCTCAGCGCTCTCAACAACAGTTTTGCGCTCTTCATACTGGAAGCCTTTTGTAGACTTTCCAGTATTGACACATAGGCGACAGCCGCCACTGCTGGCCGTGTGCCGTTGGTCACTTAGCCGCAGTGTCGTACGCTGGCGCCAATTGTTATACGACGTTTGGGCTGGCTAGGTCTTGTGTTGGCCGACACATCGCCTTAGCGTATGCCGGACGTCAAACATATGTAGTTTGGTCGCCTACATGTACTAGTTCTTATTTCCGTTACATTTTTTTTCGCTATTGAAATCCCAGTTTGTTGTGCTACTTTAGGGGAAAATAGCGAATTTCCAACAGGTAGCCGGGCAAAGCACATTTTTTCACACGCACATATCTTTTATGTACATGTATATGTATATATATACCTTTAATACATATCTACTTGTCATATGTTTCCACATGCCCTCTTTTACGTGGCTCACGCGTCTATACATAGGTATGTAAGTGTGTGTGCTTGTTTGCTTAGCTTATTTTCTGGCGTTATCGTGGCTGTGTTTGCTTTGCTTGCTGTTTGAGTTCGCTCTTTTAAGTGGTATTTGTTGTTTTAGCAGTTCCTTTGTCGTCCGCTTGCCCTTTCGGGCAGTGTTGTTTTATTGTTTTTGTTTTATGTGTGCTGCTGCCAAGCTGTTGCTTTGCTGGCTGGCTTTTCTTATTGCCGGCGCTGGTGGGGCAGTGGGCTTATTTGTAATAATATGTATTTTATTTTTTTTAAACTAACTTTTTTTTCAATAATAAAAGAATATACATATTATTA